GCTGCAGGAGCAGGGGGCACGGGGGGTGCGGGGCCACAGGGTGGGGGTGCAGGGGTGTGGGGGGCTGCGGGTACGGGGGTGCGGGGCCACAGGGTGGGGGGTGGAGGTGCAGTGGGGCTGCAGGTGCGGGGGCACGGGGGGTGGGGATGGGGGTTTGCACAGGGGCACAGGTGTCCCACAGGAGCCAGTGGGGGCTTCCTAGGGCACACGGCCGGAAACACAGCCCAGTGGCAGCCACCATTGCCCCTTTGCCCACAGGCTCTCCCCTCTCCCCAGGTCGACACAGGCTTTGAGGGAAGGCGGCACCGTGGGCGTTCCCACCTTGAAAGGTGCGCGCACTGTTGAGCAGCTGGTCAGCCTCTGATGATGGCCCAGTGTGTTTTCTGTTAAATCCTTGAGGTTTTGCTGGTGAAGTGGACACCGGGCTTGTGTGGAGGGGAGCGTCCAAGTGAAAATGTGGTTAAGCCTCTTCTCAACCGAAGTTGCTGCTCCGGGCCGCGCTGAGGGCTGCGTGTTGCCGTGGGGACACCCTGTGGGAGGGAGCGCGGCCCTGACCACGCTCTCGCCTCCTGAGCGCCTCGTCTGTGTTGCAGGTGGTTCCACCAGGGCAGCAACCCGTACACGGGGACTCCCGACTGGTTGTACACAGGGGGTTACTTTGAGCGGAATTTCTCACGCTGCCCGGATATCTACTGAGGGGCTGGAGTGGCCCTGGGCCCCGGGACCGGAGACTGGACTTCGTCAAGCGGCTGCTCAGAGCTCTGGTCGTGGCAGAAACCGACTTTTCCAACAACCATGTTCGTGGCGACAGCACCATCCCCGGTCGAGGATTTTATTCTAATTAACTTTTGATTGCCAAACATTTTACTACTGTTGCAGCCTCTTCATAAAGCTTCACTTGGGATCATCATGTTCTCATTAAGGGTGGAAAAGGAAAATCCTTTGCAGTTCCTTCATGTGACGGGACTTGGCTGGGCATGTGTAGCTGACAGCACCCTCTTCCTTGTAAAGTTTATAACTAAAGTCCGTGACCAGGAGGGGCTCCTTTAGTCATAAATCCCTCCATAGTCCTCCTTGTAACGCAGGGGCGAAGGGTTTCTGAGACTGTTTAGAATGTGAACTGATAACAGGGGAAGATGGATCTTGAAAAAAGTCCTTTGAAGAGCTTTATACAGGCCAGGAATTATGGTAATACAGGAGTGAAGATCTTCAAAGCATCAGATTGATTGAAATGAAAAGTTGTCAGATTCTGTATTTTTTACCAATCTTCGATAATGTAAAGATTACTTTTAAAATATTTAAGTTAAAACTACTTGAATAGTATTTTGCTGAAGAGCAAGATATGCATTAATCACCAATTGTATACTGTCCAGACCGAAGCATTCCCATGACACCCTGGGACAGCCGGAAACCTGGAGGGGTGCTGACTGAACCCCCTGGGCCACTCCCAGCCGTGATGGGAGCCCCGCCTCTGGCCTTGTCCACACCCCTCGTCACCAGGGCGTCCTGGTCAGTGTGGGCCACGCCACGTCACAGAGTGTCACTGCCCCCAGTGTTTCAGCTGCGCCCACAGCGCTGCTGTGTCCCCATCGTCCCAGCATGCACATTCAGATGCAGGCGAGTCACAGCGGGTGTGCCCACGGGAGGGTCCACAGCAGCCTCTGCTCACAGCCCTGTAATTAAAGTTATTTAACAAAAAATAGGTGTATGTCCATTTTAGCAAACATCTGTTCAAGCGACTGTGGTCTTTCTGTAGAAATGTCCACCACCACAGGAAGCAGCAGGGCTCTGAGCGGAAGGCCATCCTCTGAACGCATGCACACACTTGCACACTCAGGCACATGCAGTCGTATGTAGGGAGTGGCGGGTTTTCCGTGAGAGGGTGTCGTCACTGTGTGTCCAGGCTTCAACATCACATTTGTAATTAAAACACTTTTAAAAGCGAATACTTGTTCCGAAGGCTTGATTTTGTAGCTCTGGACACTGAAAGCCAGGGTGGTGGGAGGAATCGAGAGTATCTGCTCGACGGGGACATGAGTGGAGCTGCTGGTGCAGGGTTTACCCTGGGGACGCTGTTCCGAGAGCAGATTTTGGGGTGTCTGGTTGTCTGCATGGGGAGGCCTTTGTGGCCGGGGCTGGGCTCATTCTCTGTGGGTGAGCGCAAGCTGAAAATATCCAAGGGCACAACCCTAGGACACAATAAATGACAGGATTCAGGGCATTTTAACGACTCTTCTGGATGAATCCTTTTCTCACGGCCACTAGTCATTGGCCAACAAGTTTTGTGCTTTTAAGTCCACCGACGAGGCCGGGTTTCAGGGGTGCATTGGCACAGGCCCCGTCCAGGCACTGGAGGAGGGGGGCAGGACAGCCGGTGCCAGGGCCCAGTGCATCTGAGGGGCCCTTGTCACTTGGCATATGGATTTTAACCTGCCGTTTCTGCAGATGCTGACACGTAAAGTTACTGCCTCTGCTTTGTCCCCCTTGATAATCTCGGATGTCAGATGTTGGTCTGTAATAAAGAGGTTTTCGGTAGAAAATGCATTTTAAAAAACAAGCACCTGCTACCGATGCGTTTGGCCTGTGTGGAATGTGATGGCCTTCTTGGCCATGTGATGTTCTTGTGGCTTTGCCATAAGGGCTCAGGAGCTTTTTAGAGTCCTTTTGTAGCTTAGAACATCCGTGGAGAATGAAAAGTAGAGCATGCTTTCCCCAAAGAACTTGGTATTTTGGTTTTGTTTCCCTTTGAAGTTGGGGCTGAGTTACATGTCCCTGGACTCTGTGCATTTATCAAGAGCCACCGGAGATCTTGCCATGGACAGACAGACGCTGTCTTGGAGTCTGTCTTGTGTACGGTGTCAACTAATGTCATGGGGCCCCCTGGCGCTGGCCAGATTTCACAGGCCGCCTCGTGCTGGGGACAGTCCTGTCTGGGTCGCAGGGCTGGCACAAGTCTGTCCCGGAGTGGCCAGGCCCAGGACATCACTAGCACTGGCTTGGGTGTGGCTCGTGCTTGGGAGGAGGCAGTGGAGAAGCAGGCCCTTGTCCCTCAGGGCCACGCCAGGCTGCCACGGAAGCCAGAACCCGCTGGAGCACTCTTGTCTCCGCACCGGCAGACGTGAAACACGATGGTCCAAAGGGCTTTTCCTCATAGACACGGTGCTCTGGGAGGGTAGCGGCCGCCTGGGAATGTTGGCGAAGTCCTCCGCAACGAGGTGGAAGCTGGAGAGGCCGCTGGCAGGGTGACTCTGAGGAGCAGCTCTGAGGGCTTTCTCTGCCACCACATCCCCTTCCGACCCCACCCACAAAGCTCATGTTGCCCGTGCTTGTGGGAGGGTCAGCCCAGAGACCTGCAGACACATGATCTGGTGTAGGGGACCCATGTCAGACCCAGTGGGCCTGGCACTTGGAGAGGTATCGGGTGCAGCCCTGGTGGACTCTGGGAGCTCCGGGCAGGCCCAGGGCCCATGTGCTGGCCTTGTGTCTGATGGAGCGTGGAGCGACCCACTGGGGAGGCATTTATGGTGAATGCGGAGGACACGCCATCTGCTTGCAGGGTCCTTGTCAGAACACAGGATCAGGAAATCCGAGCAGGACAAGAGAAACTCCGGGAGGCTCCCTGAGATCCAGCCAGCCCTCCGGGCAGCCCCGGCCAGAAGCTGCTTTTCAGGACACTGGCTCTTCGAGAAAAAGTGCTCCCCAAGAGAGATGGTGACTGACTGGCTTTACCAGTCTCCAGTATCCGTGAGAAGCATGGCGGCGCTGGGAAACTTCCAGCTCAGAAGCACCAGTAACAGTTCCCCTTGAGTTCCCACAGGAAGGGCAGGGGCCGTGAAGAGCTGCAGGGGACAGGTGGGCCCGGGGCAAAGTTCAGGCAGTACGGAGCTTCCCCTGTCCGGTTTCTATTGTCTCAATGTCCAGACTTTCAAACATCTTCCAAAGGATTTTCTTGGGTCCGCAGTGGGTGCGAAGATTGGGGTCCCTGATAGGGCGAATTACTTTGGGCTTCACTGGCTTCTGCATTCTCCGTGTGTGGGTTTTGCAAAGTGAAAACAGCATGTTTGGTGTCTCTTGCTGGGAGTTTAGTGGACAGTCAGCCCAGTGGTCGTATGGCTCCCTCACCTCTTTGAGAACCAGATTGCCCTGGGGGATCTCTGCAGCAGCCAACAACACGGCACCGGTCCCCCCTTCTGGCCTAGCGCGTGCGTGGCCGGCCTTCAACACTGTTTATCCTATCGGTGTAGCATGAAAATGTCAGGCAAGAATACGAGCTAGTGAGATGCATTTATTTTTATAATATGTAATAACTGGCAGCACCCATCTGTATAAACAGAATCAACCACCCTTAGATTGTTTGAGGGGAGACTGGTACAGATCTGCGAAGGTAAACGTTAAACTCTAGCTCCAAAACCAAATTTCTTTGCAAATGGGTTGTAGCTGACATTTGTTTTGCATTGAACAATTTTTCACTGTCTCAGCTGTTCTGGCCTCTCTGGAAAGGGCTGCAGATGGGCTACAGACGAGTCCCCGTGCACCGATGTCAGATGATTGGATTGTGTGTTCTGTAGGATTGGCCCAGCAAATGGATTGTTCCAGAAAATTGCTTGTCATGGTGGACAGGGGATTCAGGGGCACTTGTGACACCCCTGGGCAGGCCACTGGATGGGTGAAGGGGTCTGTGTTCTCTGAGCAGTGGGGAGCTCTGAGTGACCATCTCTCTTCTCTCCTGGGGATCAGAGCCCATTGCTGAAAGCCATGAAATGCCCAGAACGCACAGTGTTAGTCTGACTTGAGGGTCCTTGCTGCCTGGCCGCTGTCCTAGGCACTCAGGAGCCACATGCTTTCCGGGAGGATGAGCTGAGTGGAGACAGTCCTCTGAATAGCCAGGGTGGCTCTGGTCAGAGGGACAGACGGTTCACAAGATGGTAACGCCCTCGGGATGCCCAGGTGCATAGATGAGGGGCTCCCCCACGGGCTGCCGTGTCTGATGACGGGGATCACCAAGCACTCAGCACCGCCAGAGCCAGGACCTACTATCTTGGGAGCTTAATCCCCACAATTACCACCCAGTCCCACCAGTGGAGAGGGAAAAGAAGGTGCAGGAAGGTGGGCTTGCCCTTGGTTTCACAGCAGGTAAATGGGGGAAGTGGGATTTAACCCTTATTTATAGTGAAGGTCACCCCGTGTGCACTTGACAAAATTCATACCGTCTCATAGCCACCATCAACATATACGCTCAGATGACAAGGATGTCAAGACCATTCAAGGGGGAAAGAACAGTCTTTTCCAAAAAGCAGTGCTGGGAAAACCGGACCCCTACCTCACACCTTCTACAAAAGTAACTCAACGTGTGTCAAAGACCTAAATGTCACACCCCAAAACATAAAGTTTTTATTTTTATTTATTTTTTTAAAGATTTTATTTATTTGTCAGAGAGAGAGAAACAGAGCACAAGCAGGGGGAGTGGCAGGCAGGGGGAGAAGCAGGCTCCCCACGAAGCAAGGAGCCCAATGTGGGACTCGATCCCAGGACCCTGGGATCATGACCCTAGCTGAAGGCAGATGCTCAACCGACTGAGCCACCCAGGTGTCCCAAGATTTTTATTTTTTTTAATTTATTTTTAAAAAGATTTTAATTATTTGGACCAAGAGAGCACACAAGCAGGGGAAGCAGGAGAGAGAGAAGCAGGCTCCCCACTCAGCAGGGAGCTGACCTGGGGCTCGATCCTAGGACCCTGGGATCATGACCTGAGCCGAAGGCAGATGCTTAACTGACCGAACCACCCAGGTGCCCCAACCATAAAACTTTTAGAAGAAAGCATAGGGCACAAGCTTAGCGACATAGGACTTGGCAGTGATCTCTTGGGTAGGACATCGAAGGCACAGACAACAACAGAAAACACAGACAAATTGGACAAGATGAAAACTTTGTGCATCAGACAGTATCAAGTAAAAACGCAACCCACAGAATGGGAGAAAATATAGACGAATTCAACATTTGATAGGGGTTTGACATCGGGAATATGCAGAAAACGTCTAAGACTGAACAAACAAAAACCAACCTGATCCAAAAATACGCAAAGGACCCCATAGACATTTCTGCAGAGAAGATGCACAAATGGTCAGTAAGTCCATGAAAAGATGCTCGGCATCACTAATCAGGTGGGAAATGCAACTCAAAGCTACAGTGAGACCCCACCTCACACCTGTGAGGATGGCGACTGTCGAAAACAAGCACACACCAAGTGTTGGCGAGAATGTGGATGGATTGGAACCCGCCAGCACTGTTGCTGGAAATCTAAAGCGGGGCAGCTGCTGTGGAAAACAGGATGACAGTTTCTCAGAATGTTACCAACAGCATTACCAGATGATCCGGTAGTTCCGCTGTCGTTCTGTGCCCAAAGGAATGGGAAGCAAGGTTCTGAAGAGAGATGAGCACGTTCACCTCGATGCAGTGTCGCTCACCATTGCTGAATCACGGAGCAACCCAGGTGTCTGCCTGGGCGTGACCGGATGAGCACAGCGTGATCTATGCCTACAAGGAGGGGAGTCCCGACACCTGCTGCCACGTGGACAAAGCTTGAGGACGTCGTGCTCGGTGAGATGAGCCCATCCCAGAAAGACAAATACTGCAGGGTTCCCCTGACATTACCTACTTAGAGTCATCCAAACGTGAGAGGCAGCAGGATGGCCGGGACAGAGGGGTGGGGAGTTAGTGTTTCACAAGGCGACAGGGACTCTGATGCTGTACATCATGAATGTATTTACTGCCACTGGGCGGCTCACTTAAAAATGGTTAAGATGGTAAATTTTATGTCCTGTGTATTTTACCAAAAAAAAAAAAAAAAAAAAAAGCAGTCAGCAGTTGCCAGGGGTTAGAGAGGAGGGAGGGTGGACAGAAGGAGGGCAGAGGACTTGAAGGCAGTGAGACCGCTCAGCAGCACTAT